TTTAAAAAATATAATTGGGGAGCTGGTTTTCTTTGTACTGATCCAGTCAGGAATTTCAGCCCAAGTAGGCTATGTTGCTAAGAGTTGGATTTGTTTCTTTTCTACTAACTTTAGATACTGCTTTCTTTCTATTAATGACTGCACACATGACATTTACCACTACTTTATAGAGTTCTTGTGCAAGGGTTATAAAATGAGAGGTTTAGCTTCATTTTGTAAGTTTGAAAACTTGAAGACAGAGAAGAAAGAATCTTGGATTTCTTGATTAGTCATGAACATTGATCATAAAATATTTGTTGAAGGCCTAACAGCTTAGGCATTGGCCGGGCAAGGGGCACAGTGGTGAGCAAGGCTGTCCCCTGTCTACCACTGGAAACTGTGAGTCCTTGCAGTCAAGTGGGCAAGCACTGATGGATAAGATGGTTAGTGTTGAGACAGAGTCACATTGAATTTGGGTGAAGACTACTGGAGGGTTATCTGGACTGTATCTGGTGGGAGAAGAGGTCAGCCAAGAGTCCTGGATACAGTGACATCCTAACTGGACTTAGTTAATAGGCATCACGGACAGCAATTTAAGTATTATAATATTTAAATTTAAATTATTATAATATTTAATATATTATAATGTTTAAATTTAGCTATGAAAAAGATCAGTTAGTCATCCATTGATAGGTAGGACGAACATGCTCTTCTTGCCTTGTTGTATACATAAACTATGGATGGAGATATGTCCATGTTCACAAACATCACTGTACATACAGCTGCTGCCTACATCAACACCTGGTCCAAATAGAGTTTCTAATGATCATTAGTAATGTGTCATTGTGAACTCCTAGAAACCTTAGATATTCAAGGTAATAACTGGTTTCTTGAATAATTCATGAAAGCCATATTTGTCCAATAGCAAACAAAGACTAGGCCTGACGACACTGCGTAGTATGTTGAAAAGAGAAATTTGCAACTCATGTAAATATTACAACTGAACTAGCAAACAGAATACACTGATGTTTTCTCATCTCCCTCTTTTGTTTTGCTTTTGCTGTAGATACATATGGAAAACTCTTCCTCCTCAATTCTGTGGGTCAAGAGATGTCCCGTTGCAAGACATCCCTGCGACGTGGTCAGCCCAATCCTGTGTATAAGGAGACCTTTGTTTTCCAGGTGGCCCTTTTCCAGCTCTCTGATGTCACACTGATGATTTCTATTTATAACAGGCGTACTATGAAGCGTAAGGAAATGATTGGCTGGATTGCTTTGGGTCAGAACAGCAGTGGAGAGGAGGAGCAAGATCACTGGGAAGAGATGAAGGAAATCAAGGGCCAGCAGGTGTGCAGATGGCACACGCTGCTGGAATCCTAGATGGGTCCATTTGCGTTTATGTGCTCTGGATTCGCTGGTCACCAGTATTCCTGGTTGTGGACATGAAGTCAGTGTACCCAAGCTAGCTTCTCAGGCTTTCAAATAGCGATTTCACTAACCCTAAAACCTTCTGAGTGGGAGCTGGGGTTTCTACACTTGGATTTAGATTTAAATAGTATAGTACAAAGCTACAATACCCAGCTAAGTGTACAGCATGGAAAATGTTGCCATAGTTGAGCCCATTGGTGATGAGTTAATTTGTGCTAATAGATTATTGAGTCTGGGTTTGCACTATGGGATGAAGCTTCTGCTGTCCTGTTTCTCGAACAATAACTTGAGATTTCAAGGGAGCTGTTAAATGTTACCATTTGCAATCACTTAGGTATATGCCGGAATTTTTTCAGTGCAAAAATTTCCAAAGTACAAAGATGAATCAGATGCTAAGGCTCATAGAAAAATGCAACTGTAATCTAATTTCACCTTTTTCTCTCTGTCAAAAGCCTATTTCCCTAAAAAGTAAGAGTTCTAAGTTGTGCTTATAAAACAAATTTGTATTAATCATGTACCTCTTTTATCTCTCTTGTATATTATGGTTTCTATGAGATTTGGTTATATGAATCATTTTTAAGCTGGACAAAAGTGAAAAACTTGTAAAATTTGTCTCCTTTTTTCATATGTAAGATGTCAAATGTGTAACTTTTAGGGTTTTTATGCTTTTTCACCTAATAAATTCCTAAAGAATGTGAAAAAAAAAACCCAAAATCTACTTTTAATGTTTTCTCAATCTAGTTTGTTTGGGATCATACGTTTTCTATAGTCAGTGTTCCTGCATGTAAAACATGGTCATTTTCATGTAGTATTTGTTGTCATGAAATCATAGGGAACTGCACACCGTAGGTCTGTATTAAAGATTTGATTGACTCTTAAAAATGAACATCTGAACATCTGTGAATGAAAAGATATTTTTCAGCTTGTATCAAATGACTTTTTTTTTTTAGCATCTGAAGTGCCTATATCTGTCATTTATCATGACATTTACAGCAACATATATTAGTCACTATTTCCTTCTGGGCATGTACTAGTCAGAGAACTGATCAAGTGTGCTTGTGAGCATGGGGTTTTGCTTAGGACTGACTTTTACATATTTAGGCCATGCATGTTTACTTTCATTATTCCTAGATCTGAGCTTTTAATATCAATTACATTAAATGGCAGTAATATAAAAAGGGAGGAATGCACATTTAACCTTATGCTCAACATGCAGCTTTTCTGAGCAGTTTCTCAGTGGCTTATTTTTAGCTTTTATGTCTCATTGTTGATTCTTCCTGTCTGTGTCAAGAGTGATAGCTGGTGATGGGTGTATACAGTCAAAACCATGTAGCTCCTCCTCAGCTCTACATTTTGACAGATTGTAAGCATAGGATATAACAACCGAAGAACATATTTTTATGTTTCAGCATGCAATGGTTATCTTGACAAAATCAGACTAGTGAACTAATAATTCTACTGTGATTTCCCAGCTCAACCTTTGAAAGAAATAATTTTGTATAAAAAAATCAGAAATTTGCAGAATAAATGACTATCTTTCTTTCTTTTCCAGTTGTGGGTAGTTCATACACACTGCTACTCAGTTGTTGGAATTGAGTAATAAAACCATGCCCCTTTGGGTTTTTACCCTACCTTTCTTTCGAAGACCTCAAAGTGCTCTTCCAGTATCATATCCATTAACCGCTGAGTGGTCTTTGCAGGGTGGCTATGCCATTGAGTAGAACTGAGTGCAATTGATTAAGCAGCAGCACAAAGAATTGGCTTTTCACATCCTTTACTCTCTTTATGCCTTGTGCTTAAAGGGAAATAGAGCAGCCTCGTTATGCTTTCCTTTATGCGGGAGCATAATAGCAGCATTCACTTGAAAATTTACATTTGAAAAAAACTGTATATTGTACAGGCAGCCTTGGGTTTTTCCCCTTCATACTTTCCTGCTGTTCATGTTGCCTGTGTCCCTTGTTCTGTGGTACCCAGTAATCACCTCTACTTCATTTTCTGCTCCCTTGTGCCACTCGTTTTAAGGTTTTTTACTCATGTCGTGAAGATATCATTGTGTACTTGAGCTGCTTTTCAACAGTCTGCTTATGATGCGGTTTGTAGCAATGTGTAGCGTGTGAAGGGAAGAGAAGCCTGAAAAACATTTTTGTCTTTATAATTTTTCTATATTGGTGCTACTCACCATATAGGATGTGTCTGCATCTTGAACATACAGCAATGTTCACTCTCAGCTGATTGTATAAGCATAACATTCTAAAGACAGGATGCCGAGTTTTTTTAAGCCTTGATTTGAAATTCTAGTTTAGTAAGATCTTTTGATTTCATGCGCTTAAACTCTTTCATTTTCTTGGCAAAGTCTAGACATAAATGCATTTACCATGTTTTTCCACTTGAGATTTTTGCATCCACATTTGCTTTTCAAAGGAGTTGTGAAAGATAATTAGTTGGTTCTTCAATGACAGAACTGTTGTTGGCTATTTCCTAGCTGGTGATTAATATCTCATGGAGAGATCTCACGTGGAAGCAGCCATACACTTGGAGTGTCAGTAATTCTTGCAGTAATTTTCCTAAAGAGTGTGCTTTTTCAATAATGCTGGTGAGAGGAGGTGATGTACTAGGGTTAGCATATCTGTTTCATATCGTGCCTTCTTTAGAGCATTAGTTTACACTGGATTGAGAAGTGCTAGTTCTACCCATCATGATGGTGGTTGTTGCAGTCCCTGCTTCCCTCTATTGTCCAATTCTTAAATGGACCATTCAACAGGCAGCTGAACACCTGCTGTCAGCCCCCTCTTCTTCACTGGCTGCCAGTGTAATGCACATTTCTTTTAGACTCTATTTTTGCTGATGCTGCATAACTGCCTGGCAGGGGTTGGCATGGTGGTGGTGGTGCTGCTGCTCCTGCCATCCTTAGCAGCAGAATTTGCATAGCCTTTGGATGGCTCATGTTCAGGATTCCACCTGTACAAAGCCAGAGAAAGAATCACCATTTTATTTGCAAAAGGAAAGAGTATGGTGTTGCGTTGTCATTCGTTTCAGGTACCGCTAACTCTGACATCCTGCAGTAACAGTTAAGTGATTGATTTCACATGGTGATGTTCTCCCCTATGCTAGGTGCTACTGTGGGCCTGAAACACAACTTCTGACTTTTCAATAGGTAGATCTCACAATATTTTAGAAATAATTGTTACCTCTTGGTCAGCCACTGTGGTTTATATCATGGCTGTACCAGATCTTATCTGAGACCTAAAAGTCTCTACTTGCTAAGCAAACTGTTATTTAAGTAGAAACTACCATTGGGTGAAGTGGAAGTGTTTCTCTCATCTCACTAAATTAATGTAACTGACATACGGGTAGACATTGAATTCTGAATTTCCCCAAAACCTTACTGTCTTTTCACAGGAGACTTAGTGTGCCAAGATACAAAAAGCGAATAGGAAAGAATTACTGGCAAGTAATCTGAACCCAAATGGAGGCACGTTCTTTGCTGATAAAGAAATAGGATTAGAAAAAACATGGATGGGGTGTCCCTGCTTAGTTTTAATGAAACTGATTAAAGAGTGTTCCATTCCTGTTTGATTGAAAATAACAGCAAATCATAGATTATCCTGAAATGGCAAAAGGGTTTTTATTGTGTGAAAAGTTAATTATTTGTTTGGAAAAAAATCTAAAAACTCAAATGAAAAATTCACACAGGATGTGTATGGAAGAATTAAAGAAGTCAGTATGCTAGACACATTAAGCATCTAATGGCATATAATGAAGAAGAGTAAACCAGTCTACCAAAATATATTTAACATTAACTAGCGGTCATTTTGCCATGACTTGTAGAATTATGGAAAATAATTAAAGATGGAATAAAATTGGTTGAATATCATAAAGTTGGCACAGACTGTGCAGTTGTAGCCTAGGCTAGATGGAATTCTGCTAACCATGTGGCCTTAAGAAAGTGATTTAGGTGGTCCATGCCCTGGTGTCTTCAACTGGAAAATGAAACTAATACCTACCTCATGAGGTCTTCAAAAGGATATTAGTGAAATCACAGTTGCGATGTGCCTAGCAAAGAACTAGTTAGTGTTCATGCTTCCTCAGACAATAATGCTTGAGAAAAAACATTTCTTCCTATTTCTAGGGAAAGAAATAACTAGAGAAAATGTCAAAACAATTTTCAGATACTTTAAAAGGATAGGCTCAGGAAGCTAGCCTGGATTTGCAGAGAAAGTAGATCTTATCCAGAGATCAAGCCTGGCATATGGTATATGGTATATAGAGGAAATTGCCTTAGATTCCAATTGAAGAATAGCTAAGTCTTTGTCTTTTTCTTCTTCACTTAGAAGAGATGCAAATCCTTGGTGCTTGTGTGTACATCTTATTAAATCACACACAAAGCTTCTCTTTGCTACCAATTGTGTAGCTCCTACAGGACAGGGCAGCTTGTCAAAAAAGTTGGCAAAGATAATGACATGAAAACATATCTCAACTTTGAACTTAAAAAAGTAAAATAAATGCTGTGGTATTACAAAGACTCCTTTTTAAAAATGGTTACTTTTTAAAGCATGTATTATATTTCCATTTGATAGTCCTGCAGGTAAAAAGTTTTAAATGATCCAATTACTGTTTCCTTTAAGGAATCATACTAAGTTCCCTTAAGTAACTATAAATTGACAATAATTCCTTTTTAAAGTAGCTTTCAAGAATTTTCCGTTGTAAGCAAAGGTATGCTCCATTGTTCTCAAGTGATTTAAACTTTAAGTGAAGAGATATGGTGTATAAATTTACAGAAACTTTTGTGGACCCTTGGTATGGAAAAGGAGTCAGGAATAAGCAACCTCAAGTTTATGTCACCAGGTGCTATGAATCGGGCATGTGCTATTTGTGATTTTAAACTAACCTTATCTGGAGATGCAGAACTGGGAGGCTGCATTCCAAATATTGGGAAATGGCCAAGTATTCTCTTGAATTCCAGGCTTCCCAGCTAAAGAGAAAGATGACACATTGGAGAAGAATCACTTAGCTTGGGGCTTTTAGTTGGAAATAATTCAAAGCATAAAGAAGTGAAATAATTTGAATGGAGGTGAAAAAGACTGTAAAGTGGCTTCCCACAGCAACTGTGTAGAATGTAGGACTCTCACCAAAGGATGTGGTACTTTTTTTCTTCTTGATCATGTGAATATAGTCAGAATATCTACCTACAATGAGCTGCGGTACTTTAAGATAGATATAAAGAGAATTACATGAAGGTCGTTATTCATTAATTTAAATATATTTATGGGACTTCCTTTCATCTAGAGTTGTATCATTTGAGATAACTCAAGCAAATCTTAATATTTTTTAAAGTATTATGACTGCATACTGAAGCCATTAATCATCATAAAGCTAGTGCTTACCAATATATAATCATTAAATTGATCTAATTACTTGCCATAAAGAGTAATTTCTGGTCTTGGGTTACTGGACGGA